GACACCGGCCTTCCCTCCGAGCACAAACCCGAACATCAACCCGGATCGCCACCCAAACCCTCGCTCTCCTCCTACCTGAGCGACGTCAAAGCCTCTCTCCAACGGGAACCTTCGGCTCAGAGCCGCCCCCAAACGCCACGCAAACCCCTCTCGTTTTCCAACTCGCCGCCTCCCTCTTCTCCTACTCCTCAAAGCACACCCCCGTCCAGAGTCGCCTATCTGGAAGAAATCCGACGCAACCTCTCCGAATTCCGCAGCCGCTCCGCACCGTCACCACCATCATCCTCCTCCAACACTACCTCCGGCTCCGGTCCGTCCGTATCGCTCCAAGAGCTCTACAACCGGCACGCTATTCCCAACACCGCGGACTCTGACGGGGTAAAACCGCCCACAGGCTCCATTTTTGGACCCATACGCGAGAGCCTCCGCCATCTTCGATCATCCTCGCCTGGAACGGATCAACTATCACTGTCTCGTTTCAAGGAAAGCCTCAAGCTGAGGCCCGGTGAGAAGGCAGACCATGAATTCCCAATCAGCGGGGTTGGTGATGGTCTGGCCTCTTTTACTCAGCAGATGGCGAGCAAGAGCGGGGAAGATGATGAAGCTATGAGGACCCAGTTTGTCAAGATGTACAATTATTCAGAGCTCGGGGCCAAGCTGCAAATGTTGAGACCGGAGAAGAAGAAGGGGAACTGGTTCTCCTTGCACGAGTTGAACGAGAGGCTTGCCAAGCTGAGGGAGATTGAGAAGAATGACAATACGGAGATCGTAGGCATCCCCTTATCGGAATTAAGAGATGTTGTCTCCAAGATGGATGGCAAGAGGAAGGGAAACGGTAAGCTATATTACTTTCAAATTCAAAGTTTGTCTAGCGAATGGTCCTTTGCTTTGGCATTGGTCTATGACTGTTAAGAATTAGAATATATGCTGTTAGAGTTTTCAGGTTTTGCTCTCCACTTGCTGCGTGTTAAATACCTTGAAAAAAATTCTTGAGCAATATCAACTAGCTCATAACCATTTGAATGAACATAGTCTAGTTTGTCGTCACAAGTGTGTCCATAGTATTTCTTACAATAAAAGGTAATAGTTTCCTTGAATGAAGCAGTTGGGAGTCGGATAGGGGGTGCCTACGGTGCAAACTTAACAGCACGAGGGTGCTGTGTGTTTTAATACCATTGGATCATAATACTCACCCAACTATTACTTTATTTTTTTTAAACCAATGGTAATAAAAGCACACAGCTGAGGGTGCTGTTAATTTGCGCTGCAGGCACCCCCGATGCTTGGGAGTCATGTCTAAGGAGCATGGATACATGTCAAAAGTTCTTAAAAGTATGATCCATTAAGAAATATTGTCTACATATTGAAAAGGATAACAAAGAAACCACTTATCATATGGATCCAGCAATTACAGGAGTGGGCTGTGCCTGCTGTGCAATTTTAAACAGCACCTGCGGTGCACCCCTCCCCATCACAATTACAGGGGAGATGATTTTTTGCCCGAATCATAAAACTATGTCTTCCTCAAAATTGGATATCTTTTCTTCTCTTTCTTATTTTTCAGAGCTATGAATGTTCTCTGCTGTTGATTTTGTGTTTTGTTGTACCATTATTTCCGATGATAAGGACAAAGGATCCCAGTTTTACTATGCAGTATATATATTAGTTATGAAGCTACCTTAATGTTTCTACTTACCCGATATCTTTGATCTTAATATCAGCTGTTTCAGCACAAACACTTGATATTCTGGGTCACATAGGTGGGACACCGAGCTACATGATGCATCCTCCAAAGGACCACTTAATTGAGAAGGCAAGTGTTCCTTTCTTGCTTTGACCTCATCCTTGTGTGAATGCCACAATTTGAACCATGTATCACTGTTCAGAATAAAAAAGATTTGTATATGGAAACAAGAAAATGCTGCTTAGTTATCTGTTAATGTTCATGTGAGATGATATTCGAATCTTCTGCAGTATTTTCATCCGGACAACATGTCGTCTGCTGAGAAACTGAAGTTGGAGCTGAAGAAAGTAAGAGATGAATACAAAATTTCAGAGTCGGATTGTGGTTCTGCTCGTGTTCAGGGTGAAGTTTTTCTGCTCAAACTCTGTATTTTGATATTGGAATAATTGAATCAATGATGCTACAAAGCATTTTAGTTTTCGTAATCATATTTAGAGCCAGTGTCTAACAGAACATATGTAGGGCCAATTTCTGAACTGAAACTGTAGATACACATGTTCAATAGATATTCCTTTTTTCAATATCGATCTTCAGAGAGAAGTTTTCATAAGAATTAGGTTGCTATAATAAGCCCATTCTATTTATCGTCAAACTTGTGCATTTTTTAATGGTGACTAGTTGGGAAGTATTGAACAGTTCAAATAAATTGTAAGTAGGATATAAGTTCCAGTAACGAATAAGCATTATTTTTTTTACCAACAAACTCTTTCTAGAGAGGCCGAAAACATACCTTGAAAGCAAATAGAAACCCCTATGAATATGAAACTTCGTTATTGCAGAACTGTGTGTGACTACCATAGTACCACGTGACATTCTCGTTACTAATGTGTTTCTAGTTGGAAACAGATGCATATCAGTTAAAAAATAATTATATATTTTTCATTTTCTTTTTTCTTCTCTTAACCAATCTCAATTTTATATCTTCTCATCGATTTTGAAGTATCGAATGTTGTGTCTCTCTGTTTTGCTCTTTGATGTGTCTAAATGTATATGCTGTAATATTTACTTGGCCACAACATCCGTCTATTCAACCACTGAGATGGTGCGTACTGCCCTTTTGCAGTTGCACAGCTGAGTACAAAGATTACACATCTCGGAAATGTTCTATCAAAAAAGGTTAGCTCAGTCATGATTTTGGAACTTAGAAGCATCTTCCAAATCTATATCTATATCTATATCTATATCTATATAATGGACCAATCCATTTTACTATATATGTAACAAATTTTCCCGCCTAAATATTTCAGCTAAATTTGGCAATTACTATTAGACATTCATTTATTACATAAAACCATAATTGGTTAGTTTATTAAGGAATTTGAAAATATTTAAACTAATTATTGCTTGAATTAAAATTTGGTCTCAAAAGATATAAATGTATTAGTACGACTTTGAAAATATTTAAACTAATTATTGCTAGAAGTAAAACTTGGTCTCAAAGATTGTGAAGATAAATTAATTATTTAATAATATACTCAAAGATATAAATGTTTTATTAGTTTTGACGATTGGGTAAATATAAAAAACAAAAATCAATATTAATATATAAACAAACACACTCACACATACACACTTAAATAGAATGATTGATTGATTAGATATATTTTGAATAAGACCAATAATACCAATTTCATAGTAATTTTGTTGGCATAATTTAATGAAAATAAAAATTACTCATTATTATTGTAAAAAATGTTTTGATTAGTTTTGTTATCATCTCATGGATGTCGATATGAATTATGATCATCAATAAAAAAACACTTAATGAAAATGATTATGTTTGAATTATATTAGATGAATGAATAATTTAAAATATTAATAAACTTTTATGGTGGATTTCTCATAGTTGGTGCTGCAGCCATTTTTATGGTCAACTTAACCATGAATAATCTAAAATCTAATGAATATATATTAATAAATTATATTTTTATGGTCGGGTAAAATTAAGAATTATAATTTTTACATTAAAATATCTATATACATCAAAAACAGTATTCAAGGTGTCAAAAAATATAAAATTTATTATATATCGTTTTATAAAGAACAATGAGTAAATAATATTATCTATTAATATATAATAAGGATTAACATAATTCACTTTTAGTAATCTTTTCCCGCCAAATTCATTAATTATAGCCTAAAAATAGTAACTTAACAAACTTTCATTAATCATTGCCTAATTATATTATATATGTTTTTCTGATTTTTGTTTCCTTTTATGATATGGAATGAAAATCCAAAACAATATCTTTTTTTTGTAGGTCCATATCAATATGGAATTTAGAATCTCTTGCCTTACGATATTCAGTTAGAAAATATATTATTCATTTAATAATTTGATATCTTTATGTAAAGGAAACAAAGTTATTATTTAAATCAGTTGATTATCACACAGTATTCTACGCATATTTAATACTTCGGTTTGTGTTTGTTTTAGTAAATTCTTGGTTTTCTTTAATTACGTTGATAGTGGTTTTGTAGGCAAAGATTATGTAAATAATTATATGTAGCCGATTTTGGAACTCTTATTTATCAAGATTTTTTTTTTATTTTAACAGATATATTGAAATCATTGATTTGGATTAGCATATATGTTACATACACACAAAAAAAAATATAGTAATATTTAAATTTACATGGCGTCAATTTTGGAATTCTCATTTGTGAGGATTCTTTTTTATTTTATCATATTTATTAGAACCAACAATTACAAAATATAAATTTATGTTCATATCTAAATATATTTATATTAATATTTAAATATATTTTTTATTGTAGCAGATTTTGAGAATGAACGATTTTATATGAGATATACAAATATTTTTTTTTTAGATATACACCAATTCCCTTTATTGGTATTCTTTTTGTCAATTGTTTTTAAAAAGAAAATTTTCAAAATTTTGTATAGTAAATCAATTTTTTGTTTTTGTATACACAAAATATAAATTTATTGCAAAATCTATATATATATATATATACATATATATATATATATATATATATATATTTACTACCTAAAAAGTTGTCACACATATAATAAGAAAGCTGTCCAATTTAAAAATTGTTCAGTTTGAAAATATATAACAAGTTGTCACACATTCAATTAAAAATTGTTCGACTTGAAAAAATTAGCCTGAAGTAATGTCTAATCACTAATATTTAATATTTTATATCTACTATATATAAACTCTCTCATAAAATTAGTGTGATGTAGTATTTAATATTTTGTATTATTCATATATATTTTTGTAGATATACATACACCAATTCATTTGTCCAAATGTTGTATAAATTATCATATTATAAATAGATCCATCTTAGACTTCCATTTAAGTTCCAGAGGCACCAGTTCCTTCTGATTTTGGGGTTCCGTTTAACAGTCATGGTCAGTCTTTTTGTATAAAAAATATAGAAATATTAGTAAATATTATAAAGCTAATCAAGTATAATCGATATTAAACTACCAGTTCATTGTCTGACTGCCTAAGTAAATTATCATATTATAATTAAAAGATCCATCTTAGAATTTCATTTAAATGCTAGAGCACCAGTTACTTTAAATCTTAGGGTTTCAATTAAGATCAGGGTCAATCTTTATCTGCGTTGACATATTATTAAAGAAATCGGTTCTTAGCAACGACCGATTATATGTTGTTGTTTTTACGTGTAAATAATAGATAAGAGATGTGCATTGACATGTTCTTAAAAAATCATTTTTTGATCACGACCAATTGTATGTTGTTACACGTGTAAGTAATAGGTCAAGAAGAGTCAAAGTCAACATTTATTGTACGTTGACATGTTAAGTAATAGATCAAGAAGAATCAAAGTCAAAATTTATTATACTTTGACATTTTTTAAAGAAATCGATTTTTAGTCACGAACAATTATGTTGTTTGTTTCGCGTGTAAGTAATATAAAAGTGCTGAAAATATTAGTTTGTGGGGACGACGAGTTGCTCAGTTATTGAACAAATAATGTTGTGTACAAGAAAGTTTAAATAATATATTTTTTTTGCATGAGGAACATTTTATGGTTTGATAATTTTCCTACGAATTTTCACTCTTTGATTTATTAATACATTTTAATTTTTAATATTCTCTAAATTAAATACAGCCCGTGCATCGCACGGGTTACATACTAGTATAGTCAAGTAACAATTGAAATTATAAGATTTTACAGTCAGTGGAATAAAAAATTATTAAATTTGCTTATTAATTAAATTATTATATATGTTGAGTTAAATGGATTAAATAAATAAGTATATACAAAAAATATTAAAATACAAAATAAAATATTTACCATGAAAAATTTGTGTTCCATAAGAGATAAAAGTTACTAAAAAAATTAAAAGTTAATTATCATAAGTAAGTATTTGTTGCAATTAGAGTGATTATAAATAAAATTAAATTTTATAGATTAAACATTGGTCAGCTATCGAGCAATATGCAAAATATGAATTGCTAAAAAAATTATAAGATTAATATAATAGATAATTATATAAGTACATGCAAGTAATTGGTATACAATCATTATATTTTAAATCTTACGCTTTTATAATATTTTATAAACTAATAACTAATTAAATTCATACCTACAAAAATAAATTTGAAAAATAAAAAATAAAATATTTATATAAATATTATATTATTACAAACTTGTTATGTTGTGTCTGATAGAATTGACATATTATCTTAAATAATTTAATAAAAAAATTATATTGTGTCCCGCGCATCGCACGGGTAGCAACACTAGTTCCGACTAATAGATGGTTTTCCATGCCGTGACTTAATTGGAAGCGTGAATGTATTTCAAATTTCAGTTGTGTTTTTGGCTAACTGTTGTTAGGACAAGCATTCTTTGCATGGCCTACATTTGATGGTAGAGAGAAGGAAGAAGCTGATGAAGTACTTACGAAAAACGGATTTTGATTCGTTCTGCCTCCTCATGTCAAGGTTCAACATTCGTCTCGTCACGAACACCAAAAGCTTAGATGTGCGCCATAAGAAGAAGCTAAAGAAGAAGCAGCCTCGGAAATAGGACACCAGTTCTCTGGTCCTATTTCTCTAGTAATAAAGCTTGAAGTTTTTCCATTGCTACACCTTTGCTTTTAGTGCCGGGCCGTGCTTATAGTCATTTGAACGGCGTAGTTTATATCGACTCTGAGACTTTGACACCCGTTTTGTCAAAATTGACGGAAAATCTGTTGCGCTTTAGGATGCAGCAACTTTTGTATCTTTGCAGTTGCAACGATGTAATCTTCTTATTTTATTTTGTTGTATTTTATTCATTTGTCCCAACTTTTATGCCTTCAAAACTTTGGCAGTTTGATGCCATTCTTAGCTTTTCTTTTCTGTAACTGATGTGTTCTTACTGCAGGACTTGAGATATGCTTTATGTTTTGCTTTAGGAAATATTTTGGGAATAATTAGTGACAAAGGTTGATATTTGGTTTTATTATAACATTAGTACAACGCCCGTGTATTATATGGGTGCTTGCTAATTTTTCTTAAAATTTAAAATTAATGAGAAAAGGTAGTTGAAAATTTGAATATCTTTTATAAGAATATATATTATTATATATTTAGTATGACACTTTTTATTTGTACAACAAACATGCGTTATATTATAATAATTTTTTAAACTTACAACATATCCCCTTATATATAATTCCCGATGCGTTGAGCCTACGTGGCTACTTCTGGTGCTTCGGAATCCTACTTGGCGAAAAATCATGCTTCGTAATTAGGTTTGGACAAATAATATTGATATATTAATAATTAATAATCTAGGTTCAGACATTTCATAAATATTATTTAGCTAACTTAGGTATTTAATATCACTTGTACTAATATAACCCTTTAATTCTTTGTAATTTTACATAGTAAGACACTCTTCGAATAAAGGGTTATATTAGTACAAGTGATGTTAAAATACCTAACTTAGCTAAATAATATTTATAGAATGTCCAAACCTAAATTATTAATTATTAATATATCAATATTACTTGTTCAAACCTAAGTACGAAGCATGATTTTTTGCCTAGTAGGATTCCGAAGCACCAGAAGCAATCACGTAGGCTCAGCGCATTCGAGAATTATATATAGAGAGGATTAAGCTTTGAAAGCATGATATATCAGTCAATCACCCTCTTTAAGGAAATAAAATGTTAATGAATAATGTTTTGTGTACAACTATGTATTTATAGTTCACTAACTACGATCTATTTTTCCTTGTTAATAATTTAAGTTTTTAGGACCCTATATATTACTCCCTCCTATTTTTATTATTCGTCGTTTTGAGACATGTTAATTAAGAATTTTTTTGTCAATATTAAGTCTATTTAATGGATGTTATAGGAAAAAATGGAGATGAAATATGAAGAGACACTGTGTATTAGATGGAGGGTTAAAAATGGAAAAAAATAAATAAAATAGTCAAAACGACATTTATTTAATCAATGATCAATTAAATTAAAATGGCATATAATAAAAATATGAAGGAGTAACTTTTACAGGTATAGATGCGTTGGATTAGGTTAAACTGGACCCATAATTTAATTGCCATCTAAAAAGTAGCAATTATCTCATTTATTAGAGATTACCATGATTGAAGGAGAGAAAGGGTCCTCATGTAAAATAAATGATTATTTTGGAGTTATTTTTTTAAAAGACGATTTATTAAATGGAGTTCTGAAAAATTGATTTTTCTAAATAATCTGGAGTTATTTTGGGGTTCTGTTGGTTCCCCTTTTGTGAGCTGCAGTGGGCCTTTCTCCGTAGCCTAGGTGTTTGTTCGATTTGTGGTGATGATGGGGTTGCTGTCCGACGGGGAGGGTATTATTGGTTTTTTATTTTGTTGTGTTTTTGTTTTTAGTTTTGGGTGTAGTTGTCTGGATTGTATTGGATTTTCTATGTTGTAGGTTGAGCTTCAGATCTTCTATTGGGAGTTTCTTTCTCTATTTGTGGGAGTGTAGCTTTGTTTCTATTCGAATCGAGGAAGAAGGTGCGGTCTCATCAGGTGAAGCACATCATTAGAGGGTGAGCCTAGATGCAACTTGGTGAGGTTCCATTCCAAAATCAATTGGTGATGGGAGGAGTAGCCCACTAGGCCTATATAGTAGGCTCATTTTCCCTATATAATCAATGTGGATAACTCAGAAGTGATATTTCAACACGCCCCCTCACTTGTGAGTCCTTCGTAAACCCATGTTCACATAGCAGGCCGGGTAGAGAGAGACATTGTAGGTCCTAGGACAGGTTCGCTCTGATACCATATTAGATACGAGGAAAGAGGGTGCGGTCCTACTAGGTGAAGCAAACCATAATAGGGTGAATCTAAATGCAACTTAGTGAGTTTCCATCCCAAAACAAATTGGTGATATGAGGGGTATCCCATTATGCTTATATAGTGGGCTCATTTTTCCTATAAAATCAATGTAAGACAACTTACAAGTGATATTCCAACAGTTTCTTTTCGTGTGTGTTTTTGTGGTATTTAGGCTCCCTTTGGGATGTCCTCTCAGATGCTTCGGCCTTTGGCTACTAATGGTCGGACTCTTTGTTGTAATTAAGTGTTCTTCTATAAAATTCTATCGTTTGGAAAAAAAAATATATTTATCCTTTTACTTTATTTTTTGAAAATCACCAAACATGAATTAATTACTCAAATATACTTTTGCATTTAAACTCATTTAAGTATTTCCGACCAAGCTAAATATGTAGATGAATCATCCTCATCTCATCCGATAAGAGAATATATCTTATTAGATCTTTTAAATTATTTTCAATGATTGTTATGTGGTCTCCTTCATATCGCCTTTGCCCTTTCTCTACTATATTGGTCAATTTGTTGTGATGAATTCTTTTTCATGATAATCTACTATCACTTACATGTCTCTTTGTTGACAACACCAGTAACATGGCCAGCTCGACTTGACCGATTTAAGGGCTTGGAGGAAATTAGATTACCAAAGAGACGATTTATGTTGGGGGTATTGAGGGCTGATGACCTATATCAAGTAGCCTAGGTCACTGATATCAGGCATTTAAAAGTACTACAGCTCGATTGGTTAGAGCTTATTAGGGTGAACGGGAACGAGCTAAACAACTCGGTAAAAGTAGAGGTCGACCAACTGAAAGTCTGAAAGCACTATTAATATGACCTGGGGAGCCAGACAGATGATAAACCACATCCCGGTTAAGGGCGGCCTAGGGCTGAGGGACCTTGATATACTGCAGGGACCCGCAACATTTATAGTGTGAAAATAGTAGTGTGAAAGCAATAGTGTGAACACAATCAAGTATGGACAAACCTCGGGCATCTCTTTGAGCAGCAAGTTGATTAACCTTGGAAGTCCTTGAGCAAGTTGATTAACCTTGGAAGTCCTTGGGCAACAAGATTATGGAGTGAGGTATGACTAAACACATACACACACACACACTCTCTCTCTCTCTCTCTACAATATTATGGGGTGAGGTAAGATTGCATACACTACTACATTGATCGTTGTAGTGCTCGCGTTAGGAACACCTTCTGGCCCTTATTTTGCATATTGCCAACTTCACTCAAACGGTCGAAATACCATTTATTCCGGTTCAGATATCCGAAGAAGATGTGTGACCTAAAAACCAGAGTTATTTAGTAGATCAATATCAAACTGGTGTCGTATGTGGGATACCAATTCTACTAAGGTTGAAACAAAATTACGATTTTTCACAATTTGTACGAGATCTAGGGCGACATCATTGACGGAGCAAGAAGGAGCTCGTGGAAAGAGAGGCACTGACGATGCTTGGCTGCAAACGCGACCTTTGGGGTCATGATCACCCCTAGGGTGGCTCGCTAGTAAGGATCGGCCCTAGGGTGGCTCCATTATAAATATCATCAATTAATTGACACTAATTCATTATCATTTAACTATGTATTTCATACAAATTACATTTTGTTTATTGAGAAAAAAAAAAAGATAATTAAAAATTTTCATTTCTAAATCAAAATATATAGGTTCATAAAATTAAATACCACTTTTATTCAAAGAATCACGACCATACAATAATTTATTTGAAATAATTTCAGGATTAAAAGAAATGATGGCATTTAACTGGGATTAATTTTAATTTCATGAAAAAAAAAACAAAACAAAATTTGTTCTAGTGTTCCCACCTATATATAAATTGTTTCAACCAATGCACATAGCTGAGAATATAAAATGAAATAAAACCACAGCTATATACTTTTAACTATAAAATTATTGATAAAAACAAACTACTAAAGTACAATTTAATTTGTTTGACCGATAGGGAGATGTCAATTAATGTCGAAGTTGTCTTGTTAATTGCGTGGGAAACATAATCTGATTAATTTTGTTATTACAACACATTTTACGAGGCAATGTCTCTGTGTTTGACTTTACTTTTCAAGATTAACTAAATATTTCTACATATGTTCAAATCAAGTTTGGCGCTTCAAATGGGGGTGTTTGTTTATAAATTTATCCAATCAATTAATATTCAACTAGTACGGCACCTGCGCGTAGCGCGGCATCATGTTAAATATATTGATGAATTATAATTTAAACAAATGACAATTTATTTAAAATAATGTCACTTATTAAGCATTTGAATAATTATACATATAACATTAGTTGTAGGCAAATTGAGTTTATTATGATCATTATTGTCAATGAAAATATTAATCTTTCATTTATAACTCTAGAAACAACAATATGCTACTATTATGACTAAGTGCATATTTTTTAGCAACAATATCACATATAACAACAATAGTTGACTTTTGATCAACTCACATTGCCTAAGACAACATAATAAAAAAATATCATCGTTGTAATTTAAATAGTAGTCTTGAATTGAAAAACGTCA